ATATAAGATTTGGTGCTTTCCTTTGTACGAATATTCTTAGTTCGAGCTGAGGCAGGCATAAAGCTATGGTGTTCATATTTTAAAGTTAGGAGTTTCTATATATTTGAGAGTTCCGTTTGGGTGAAATAAGATTTGGTGCTTTCCTTCGTACGAATATTGTTTATTTGGTCTGAGGCAGGCATAAAGTTATGGTGTTTTTATTTTAAAGTTATGAGTTTCTAATTATTGGAGAGTTCCGTTTGGGTGATATTAGATTTGGTGCTTCCTTTCGTACGAATATTGTTAGTTCAGGCTGAGGCAGCCGAATTATTGTTTATATTTTGTTAGAGTTCTGAGTTCTAATCGATTCTGAGGGTTTTAGCTCGGAAGTTATAAGATTTGGTGTAAGCGGACGCTCCGTTAGTTCAGGCTGAGGTAGCCGAATTATTGTTTATATTTTGTTAGAGTTCTGAGTTCTAATCGATTCTGAGGGTTTTAGCTCGGAAGTTATAAGATTTGGTGTAAGCGGACGCTCCGTTTCTTGGTTCTGTAAAGCGGGCATAGGTGACACAAGGATAGTTGATGCAAACTTGGTGCAAGTCCTTTATTTTCAGCTGGTTTACCACTGGTAAGAAGACGTACCGACTCGGATACGCGTCTCGGTCATTTATTTGTTGAATTTCACGAAATAAAGAATCTAAAACTCTATAAAAGTGTTCTCTTTTACTTTAATCCACACGAGGAGCCTGACATCCTGTATACGAACCAGGCTTGAAAATTTGAAGGGTCCGAGAAACTTAAATCTAAAAGCCTGAATTTGACCCAAAAATTGCGAGTTTGTATACATTGAGTTGTGTCATGACTTTCATTCCATTGTGGGCAAAAACAAATAGTCACATACAGCTCTGGCAATTAGCCAAAAACGTCGACAGCATATTATTTCCTAACCTTCATCTTCTTCTACAAATAGGATGTATTTTACCAGTGACCAGCGAAGCGGAGCGGTCATTTTCGGCTGTTCGGCGTATAAAAACCAGGTTAAGATCAACGTTAAGAGAGGAACGCCTGAGTGCCCTGGTGCTCATCAACGTTAACAGAAAGCTCCAGCTAAATGTCGAGAATATCGTTGGGCAGTTCATCAGAAAAAAGCCACGCCGACTTTTCTCTGCATTGCACAGTTAAAGTGAAGGTCCCACATAATTTTGGGAAGATAAATCTGTTTAATTTTGTGTGAAAATTCCCTGTAAACCTCTACATTTATGATTAAGCCTGTGAAACTATTGCAAGCTATATTATTTATTTTTATGCGCTGAAAGTAAAAACAGTAAACCAAGTCTATAGACTTTTCGTCTGTGAAAGTTTGTGCTCTGGAAAACCCCGACCAACATTCCTATACTTAAATGGACTGGTTACTCTAATAGTAAATTGATACTGCTAATAAAGCTTGTTAAGAACAACCATAATATGGTATCTGAAGATATTTTGTTCCTCACCTGTGAAGGGAGCATTCACCATCAACATTTTAAGGATATTTTATGCGATTTTATTGGCGATTTTTAGACCTGTAATTTTGGAATTTACCTTCCGGTAATACGTCAGAATGCACCAAATTGAATCTAATTTACCAAATTTTTTCTGGGGGAGGGCCCCAATACCCCCCGTTGCAACGTTTAGCGCCTTCGGCGCTCGCGGTGGTGAGCTACACCCACCGCAATTAGTTAAGCAATTATCCAACCTAGACCCGCCCCTGCAAAAAATCCTGGATCTGCGCCTGCAACGTCCCGTCCTGTTACAGTATTATACTTAAAGATTATAAACAATATTAATGTATGGATAAATAAACAAATTTAATTTAATGATTTACATAAATGTAATTGTAATATAGTTTTACTTTACAGTCCAACCAACAGGAACCTCCAAGATAAACTCAGAAGCAAGATGGACGCTGTAACCAATTATGTCACGTGGTGACTCTACCAGAAATCAGATATTCACTAATGTTTAAATTTCGATGTAAATCTCAGTTATAATCCAAGTAAAATGTATATTTATGATGTAATAAAATAAATTTTATGAATAGATTTGTGTGACTTACGTATTTTAAGCTCTGAGTAGTGGAACTATTTTACTAAGTAGTAAATGGCACGAAATTCAAAACAAAGTAAATATTTTGATATGGCTAGATATAATGATTTAGAGCTTGAAGTCGACGGTCGTTTAAACTAGAGCGGTAAAAGTTAATGAATTGTGACGAATTCCCTTTATAAATTGTGTTGTAAATCTACCAATGTGACTGTGGACATATTTTCTCTTCGATATACTACTTGGATAATATTTATTATGGATGACGGAATAGATGTATGGAGAATGCAAATAGGACTTTATTTTCATAAAATGGTGGCCACGAAGCATAGAACAAAGTTTCTTAGCACAGGTAGTTTCACTCTTTCTACAATATTACTCTTGACAATACTGTTAATGCTTACAGGAGATGAGGAAACAAACGCAGGCCCCCAAACCAGACATTGACAAATCTCAACCACAGGACAGGCTGTCTATCCCCCGCAACAACCCAACAAAGACGTGGAGAGTAATGAGATAAGTGGACTGACAATACTGATTCAGTCTTTAAAATCTGATATTTCGGCGCTAAGAAATGAAGTGAAAGACATAAAGACAGAAATGAAGGAACTTAATATCAAGGAAGAAGTTTAAAAAATTAGGGACGATGTGACTAGTTTGATTTCAGAAAACGAGGACATTAGAATTCAGTTAGACAATATTGAAAATAGGTCAAGCCAAAAGAACATGATAATATACAGGGTCACAGAGAGTGATCACCCCGAAGACAGTGAACAAATAGTAAGAGATCTGCTCAGTAATCTTAAAATAGACGGTGCTCTATTAGTTGTAGATGTTATTTTTGTGAAAAATCACTAGAAGAAGCGAGAGCATGTTATGGCTGTACGGATTATATAGTCCTAAAGGCGGCAAGAAGGAAACAATGCTGATCATCGATCTATTGTTTACAATGTAACATTGTGTCTTGTAATGTTGATAATGATGGTGTTGACATGTGTTTGTTGATGTGATTGTTGTCTGTCGACATAGACATACAGAGTGGAAATACAATGTAAGTTGGTAATTTATTCTGAGTGGTAGTTTGTATATAACTATAGCTAGCACGACCACAAACTGAACACAGTTTTATTGATTAGTGTTAATACTAATAACAGGGCCTACTGTTAATTTTGATTTTATTGCTGGAATAGGCCACTTAATAAAAATTAGAATCAATTGAGTAGGCTATCCTCTTTCCTCCAAAACTATGGAAGGGAGGTCTTTATTTATTTTTTTAAAAAACAAACAAATATTCAGAATAGGCATTGCTTCAGAAATAAAACTTTTACTTCCCATATATTTATTAGTAGTTAAATTAGTTAGGCCTTCTGAAAAGTCTGAAACTATAATATCTATGCTACTTAATATTTAGGATTCACTCTTTGATTGCACTGAAAAATAAATGTTCAATTTGTAGGGTTTTTTTTAACTACAATTTACTTTTACTAGTATTACAATGCATAGTGGACCCAGACCGTGGTGGCTCAGTGAATAAGACGTTGGCTCGCTAACCTGGGTGTGCCATGTTCGATCCCGGTGTTGGCAAATACTTCATTAGAATATCTCAGCGGAGTTCCCCCTAGTCAGTGGATCAGGACAATGGGCCTGGCAGGGGAAAATACGCAGTCGTTTGGGTGGGACAGACAACCAAGGTCCTATGTACATATTGTTGTTCATGTAAAAGAACCCTTAGCAGTTGAAATTTGATATAAGAGTAGTCTGTAGTGCCGCTGCACACTGTATGGCGTATGTCCGTCTTCACTAGCCCAATTGGAGTAGGACATTAATCCCTATTACATTTAATTTTTCCTATTGATACAAGTAGCTAAGATACATATTATGGGCGAATTGAAATATAGTTTTGATCTACACGTACACGTATGTAGGTCAGTGCCTGTATTTTCAATAATTAGACGATTATAGATTTTATCATCACCTACAATTAATAACATTTATTTGTTTGTTCTTACTGAAAAAGAGAAATTCCTTGAATATCTTAAATATTGAATACAATAATGTAATGCTTTGTGCAAGAGAACTTTTTTAATCATGAGAATAAATAAAACCAACAGTTTTTATTTTTACACTGCTCACTCTAATACATGTAGCTGGACCCAAATCTAAGCAAAGTAAGATATTAAATTATAAATTATTTCATAGTCATAATAATATTGAATATTTTTTTGTAGGCTGGTTTGGTAAATGTACATTGTAGACTAGAAAGTGGGAGAAGTCAGAAGACTGACGTTATCAAGAATCCTGAACTGCCCATACCATTTGTCCTACAGATAATGGCAGTACTCCTACATGTACTTAAATGAAGCAGCTGACAGTCAGTGGTTGTTGGCAACAACATCCAGTCTGGTCGCATTGATTTAGGACTATGATAAGTTAAAGGTTTTATCAAGGATGGTTTTTAACCAACTGCGGCATACAACATCTGTTTAAGCAACAAATACAATAAAGCCAATTTGTTATAATGCAAGACTGATACTGCTACACCAAGAATTATATCAGATTTCTACAATATGATAAAATACTTAAAATCTTGTATATGAGAACACTTATTGACCCCCCCCCCCCCACACACACACACACACCCACATACAGTTCAAAATACAAAAAAAACCCCACTTCTTATTCACTTTGACATATTCAATCATTTGCACTGTGTTTGTTCACTGTTCGCAGTATGCTTAATTGTTGCAGCTCTACCCCGAATGGATTTGGATTTAAAGTATAATTAAATATACTTTTTAATCTTAATAAATAAACCAATAAAAAGTTTTGCAAATATTGTTAGATTTACATGATTTTTGAATGATCTGTATTAAACATACATTATGCAAGAGCTAAATCTGCCTATTGCAGGTCTTTTAGGCCTGAAATAATATATAAACTATTAATTAGACATTTATTAACATAAGACAATAATCAACTTTCGATGCCATCGGGAGAGGCGAGACTTAGCTTCGAACAACCAGTATGGTGGTTATGTACATAGTTGTCATAGGATTTTACAATTCATTAAGGTTCACAAAGGTTAAGTAGCATATTCATGTAACAGCACACGCCATGTAGTTCAATCATATACATGTAATGTTTACTAATATATAGATGTAGGCCTACATTGTTTACTGTGAAGCAGCTGGACTCATTGTCAAATAATGGGAAATGTTAATATGCAAGTAAATACACAATTTTCTGTGTTACAAGTTATATTCTATTTCTCGACAAATTGTGACATGTTTCATCTAAAGATCAGGGTATATCTCCTCTAACACTCGGATTTCACTGCTTGCGGTGTGAGCACAGCATACTTTTTTTTCTAAATTGTATTCCATTTACTGTTTACACTCAGTTTCCATGCATTGTCTATCTGATCTCCTTAAATTGGTTTGTGTTGGACTCATGGTTGTACATTCTGAAATATAAAATAATTACAGTTTTTATGCCCATGTTCCATTAATAAGAAAATAATGGGAAGACGTACACATATACAATTCTTAGGGAGGGTAACAAAGAGACATAGATATTTTTCTATCCATGTTCCAACTTGTAGGGCTTACTTGTACATGGAAAGAGCAATGTCAAAAGGGATGAAAAGACAGATTTCCCCACTTACACAATGGTAGTACATGTACATATAACACAGAGTGATTCAACTTTGTAAAATGAAAATTATAGAGGGAGGTGGCCTTTGCGGGGTCCAGATCGAGGGAGAGCCTAATCTCAGGGTTTAACGAAATCGAGGGGCGTATTTAATATTTGACATATGTTCCCCAAAAAGATCCAGGCAACTCCCAATACCCATGTAATTGTCCAGATCTTCATTGAAAAATAGCCTTTGATGGTTCTCTCCCAACCCCCAACTCAACAAGGTTCCATGGAAAAGAACATGGGTTGTTCTCAAAATAACTTGTATACACACGGTGAAATTATCGGAAAGTGAACTGAATGTTACTTTATCAAACCAAAAAATAATTCACCTTTTCTTACCTTTTGTAAACATATTTTTTCCTGCTTTTGAAATTTAGTTTTACAGTACACCCAACCATGGAACTAGTTATATAGTATTCTATAGTCTACGGCTTGCCTTTTAGCATTGCATGGACAGCGCCTACTTCAATAAAGCTCTGTCCGAATTCAAGTATTATTCTATTACTCTCCAATAATATCTCTCCTCAGATAATATAAAGTGTAGGTAGTGAAATTCTTCGTGTTGTTTTTTTCTGACAGTTTGTTTTTCTCCCACGGCGTATGTCCGTAAAAACTTGCTAATTCTGTTAAAAACCTCCATTTTCTTTCGGGGATTTATTATTCAATCGAACTAAATGAGTTGTGTTCGTGTTATTGCACAGCAGGCGATACGTTTCAAGTCAGTAGCTTGAAGCGTATATATGGTATTAGTGTCAGTGGCCTGTGGCACGAAGTAACAGTATATTGTCGCATACATAATATATTATGTCAACGCTTGGGCGATATAATATATTATGTCAACGCTTGGAACTAGGATGGAGGTGACTAGGCATGAACTTGCAACGATAGATTTAATTGGCGCTTTGATAACCAATGAATGCTTTGGAGACATATTTTGGCGGTATTTTCCATCATGGAATCGGTAAGTTTCGATTGTTTTTTTCTTTTCTGTTTTTTCTCTCTTTTCTGTGTCCTAACCCTAACCCTAACCCTAACCCTAATCCGAAAGAAAAGTGCCCTTTTTTGAAATTCTGACATCACAGGTGCCCTTTTTCTGATAAGGATGCCCTCTTTTATTTACAGGGACACTTTCTATGGCTCTGATGACGCGTACATTCCACTGAGTCTACAGGTCTAATATGCTAACACGCTTGGAGCGTCAACACAATATATTATGTCGCCCAAGCGTTGACATAATATATTATGTATGCGACAATATACTGTTACTTCGTGCCACAAGCCACTGACACTAATACCATATATACGCTTCAAGCTACTGACTTGAAACGTGCAGGGTGTGCACAGACAACCTTGATACGACGCAGATTTTCTGTTCGTCGAAGCCATTTTACTTTCGTTTGTTTGTTTACAAGCTGAATTCCGGTACAAAAAGTAGTGCGTTGACCCCATAACCTGTGAGGTTTAGAAAACGTCATATGGATATCATGGCTATTCACTGTGTCAGAGTCACTTCTCTGCAGGAAGGGTGAGTCTGTCGTTCAGATTGCCGGGGCCTCTCCTTTCGATGGAGTATACCTCTGGCGCTTCCCTGCAAAAGACACTAAGTATTACCCAAATAAGCTGGATCAAGCCTATTTTGTGGCTTCATCTGGCAAGTCTGTTAGGAAACACTTGTCTGGTAGAAGTAGACGTAAAACTCCAGACACGAACGTCAATTTCTTTATTATTATTATTTACAACTATGGGTATTATATCAATATTCTATTAATTTTTGTAATGTGTATATATACAAAGATATAACTGTAGAACAATAATTAGCATTAGCCCTTGACCTATTACCAGTTGGAGCCCGGTTCACAATAATAAGGGACAATACCTTGGTCGTTAACCCAGAAAGTATGGATAGTCGTTTGGATAGGATGACAAAAGAGGGGCCCGTGTACAAAATGGTAATACAGGTAACACGATCGCTGGAATTGTAGCAAGATTTATCGCTGGCATTTCAGAGAATAGAAATAAGGGAAACATGTATGACGTATTGCAATGACGAGGCCTTTCAAAATCCGTATTCGCAACTTGAGCAGGGCACATAATTACTGCCTCGGTAACAAGAGACATGAGATAACAAAAGACATAGTTAAATGCCACCCTCTAGTATTACAGTTTGAAGTATGTTATTTAAAATTGTTATTGACTTTTAGATAAGAAATAGTATACAATTACAAGTGAGTATGTGATAAGTATATACGTCAAAAAATACATGGTGGTTAAATAGAAAATGGTGTGTTTATTATATTATATTGTTTATGTTATTAGTCACCAGGTTTACAGTCAACATATACAAGCGGTAGGTAGGTACGAAATTGAATTACTCTGTTAAAATCTATAATTAAATTTTACTTGATTTAAATCCGGATCAGAAGGTCGATCAATCCCAAAGTCCGATAGGGTTCGCCCCCTTCACACCATATCTGACATAAAATCTGTTAAAAACTATAGCATATATGGCGATCATGAAATTTTTGCAAAGGGATAAATCTGGGGCGGAGGGCCGTGGAATGCTGAATATCGATCGGGTTCGTTTTCTCATCACCCCAATGAAAAAAATTAGTTAAAAATTGTAGCCTCTATCGCGATCAAAGGCCAATTTTTCATGCAATAAAGGTAAATCCAATATTACCGACTGGTGACGATCTTCAAAGTGCTAGTGCCCCTTTAAAAAGCAAAACACATGATATTATCATAAATAATAATTTCTATGAATAATATAGATGGAGATCCGGAATTTATTGTGAGTGTTGAAGGGCTACATAAGTCTCTGTGTTTTAAAGTCGAGGGTCAAGAGGGGGAGATAATACGTCTGGTACAGGATGACCATACAGGTATTTACTATAATAAAACACTGCAAATTTTAGACACTGGTTTGTAGACATAGAGCACGAAGTTGCCACAAATGTTCCCCTGTCGTGTTCAAGCACACATATTGATGACGAATATAATGCTTGGCATTTACCGATTGAGCACAATAAAAAACCACAACACAATTGAAAATGACAAGGGACCACTTGTCGAAACGTCTTGCCAATGTTTACAAACCAGTGAATGTTTTTCATATAAATTTTATTACCCTCAATCCCTAAATACCACTGAATAATTATGGGTATTTACTATCTTTAAAGTATCGAGATTGTTTGAACTCGCCGTGGGCTGTAATCTCCGGGTGATCAATCCGGTGAAAATTGCTTCTAGAAAGTAAAGAGAAAGAAACACTAAGCAGGTTTCTTGAATGTTTGCACATATCATCAGTTATTACATTTAGTTTGGACATCAACGGTGTTTCCTTGAATGAAATTCAATTCTATCTTTATATTTTATTTTAAAAGGTATTCGAGTTAATGCCAGACTGTTTGGTGTTAACGAATCTAAAAATACATATATAAGTACTGTATCCATCATCAGGAAAAACATCGTCATTATCGTTAAACCACAAACAGTTATGGTGAATCGGGAGATATTTGTGTGGGGCAATATAACAGCATTTTTGATTCGTGGACATAGAGTTGTGTTGGATGAGAATCTTATGGCCGTCACTTTCAGAAGAATAAATGTTACAGCCATTGTTCGACGTCATGTGTTCCCTTCGATTGATGAAACAGACGAACTGTCATATCTTGGTTTCTATATATCAGATGCAAGAGGATTTTCTCAATACACCCATGGACTATTAGGTAGGTTGGGTGTATATTATTTGGAATTTTGTTTCTTACGCAGAATTACATTGACCGAAAGAGTAAACACAGGCCTATCCCGCCTCGTGTACGAAACACGTAGCTAACCTAAACTATAGTTTGGACCGAGGGTTACATACCCAATAAAAGATAATCTCGAGGTAAAACAAATATCGTAGGCTATGTGTATTCCTCGAATTAGAAGTGGTGTCGGATGTTCTAGAAAGAATAGGGTTACCATGCCCCGTACACAACATCCGCCACTACGCATAGTTTGATGGTTTGGGTCCGTATTTCGGAAGTCGAAGACAACTCAGAATAAGATAATGATTATAACTGGAACACCAGCAAGGCTTTCTAAAAGGTCTGGCATAATAGAGACTGTCGCGCGCGGCATATTGCTGGGATGCGAGAACTACTCCTCTGCTAAGGTGATTATTTTCAAATGGATCCCCAATCCAGGTTGAGACATTCACAATAGAAATATTTTTTAAACGTCAATATTATTTTGAATAAAGACTGCTTTTTCTAAAATAAATTTTCTGAACTATAACATCTTGAAATATTCTTTAAACATTTATTCTTCAGGTCAGTTCCTATATAAAAGAGTCTCTATTGATAATCTTCGATACAGAAACGGTAGAGCTAAAGCCAGATTAAATGTTGTGTCACCATTGAAACCAATAGCCCGTCGAGCCGTGGCAACTCTTGGTGAAAGTGTAAACAGAGCCCTTAACGTCACGGCCTCATGTTGGATGTTACGAAAAAATGGACGCGGGGTTGTTGATGGTCAATACAGAAATTACGTTGTGGAAAACATGAGAGACTTAAGACTCTTAGAATTCTAATAGATTGTTATAGATAATATTAATATGTACAGTGCAAGGGCGGATCTAGAGATCATGGATAGGGAACATTTCTAAAATTAGAAGCTCGGAAATGCCATTTCCAGGGATCTGAGACAAGAGTACGGTTCTAAAGTAAGCCCCCTGGATCCGGATAGGGAAGGGGCGGGGCATGCGTCGGGGGTACCCCGTACTAGATCCGCCCATGCAGTGTAAATCACTTTTATTCTTACTGTCAATCCGTTTTAAAACCGAGTTTCAAGTTATTACCTTTTAATGTCTACATTTAATTAGCAATAAGATTTATTTGTAACAAGTCAGTAGCGGATCCAGGAATTTATGCAGGAGGGGGTTTGCCAAGCTCCGGTTAAGGAAATTGGACAGGTGACAATGCATGATGCCATCATTGTCTCCAAATTACGTAGGCATACATACACACTGAGTTTTTTAAAGAGAGAAATCCAACACCCCGTTTGGCGTCAATTTTTTTTATGAATTAATAGGTTCACATTGTGATTCAATTTCATTGATGCAAAGCATTAATTGTGATATCACATATGTCTAAATCATTATCTCGCGCTTTGAATGTCCATCCCATCTCCTGTAGCTGAGCAGAGGAGATCCGTCCCTGCAACTATATTGTATCAAACTGACGAATTATTAATCATTCGTTTATTTTATATGCCTCAATTTAAACCATGTTGTCTTTCGCGGTAATTAATTCAGTGGTATTACCCAAATGTATATTAATCTACTTATAACTGTCTTAGAAATATGTCTGTACGTGGTCTATAAAATAATGAATCAGACATACCGGTTTATATAATACCGGTTTATATAAATATATCCAACACGTCGTTCAGCTTTCAAGTCTAATATTTCCTCGGAGATGTTCATATTGCAACAATTAATGTTCATAAATAAAGTTTTTGGACCAGCAGGAACTGGTCGCTAACCGCTACTCATCGTGTTCTTGTTCTTTTTCGTCTTGTTCTTGCGGTAGCCTAAGGTTCCGTCAATTCAAGTCCGACATGAAAATCGGCATGCTTGTTCTTTGAACCTGCATCGATTTAGTGAATTAGATTTTTGAATTTCATTCAACAACATGGTCAGTTCGTGGTCCATAGTACGACCGTACTTTTTTTTTAAAAAAAAAAGGTTACTACGAAATAACTAAATGCAGTGGGAGGAAACTCCTTGTCGCATTCAAGCATTGGATCGAAATCGAGATTCCTGAAACGATGCAAGATTTTATGATCTAAACAACAAATGGAAAATATCAGAAGGCAATTTTTACTTCACTATGCTTACATTTATATTTCATGTAACATATAACAGATCATGACGCATGCTGGCATTTCACAATGGTTTTCTCTGGGTTATATTCCTGATTGTTTTCAAATCTGAGTTAAGTCTGTATCACTACAGGCCAGCAGCTGTACATCGCAGTGGACGCTTACGGCCAGCCCCCGGATCCATACACTTAATTTGATATGTCCGTTTGTTTGTGATTTCTGCGTATTGTGTCTTGTCCGTAGATTTTTTTCTGTGTAAATTATGTGTCGTGCAATCCCCCTGGACTTTCTAATAGATATGCCTAGTAGTAACGGGTTTCCGAAAAGAATAATCATACCATGTCGTGTGCAAATCACACACAAATAATTATGACATAATTTCCACAAAACCATAGAACAATAGTAGAGTGTATATCTTCAAAGAAAAGTGTACATTAGACGCAACACACCCTTCCTTAGTTCGATGTATCCAGTATCTTGTGGAATTCTTTGGCAAAAAACACCACATAATGGTTTTTTCTCTATGTCCAATATCTTGTGCAATTAAAAACAGCACAGACCAAAAACACTCTTATTCTAAGTCGAAAATCTCGTGGAATGTAGTAGCACACAGGGATATAAGAGGGTCTGAGAAGAATTTTTGAACAAATTGAATTCTTTTTTCTAAGTATCTTGTGGAACTCCCGTGGTAAAAAAAACAGTCGAAAATCTTGTGGAATGTAGTACCACACAGAGAGATAAGGGGGTCTGGGAAGAAATTTTTGAAAAGATATAATTTTTTTCTTTGTCCAATATCTTGTGGAACACTTGTGGTAAAAAAAACACACTATCAAAATTATTCTCAATGTTGAAAACCTTGCGGAAAAAATTCGACCGTTCTTGGCGGTGGTCGTTACCTTAATGGCGACAGTCATAAGTTTAAAACTTCCAAAATTTTAACCATAAGGGCGATAAGACCTAAAGAAATATGAAATTTGATCGCGTTCTTCCTTCTGGCCTCACAAACAATCACATCAATATTATAATTGCCTGGATATATGTAACACTATATTCTATGGAAACCGCGCCTTCTACACACGGTTTTACAGATAAACGTTTCAGTCCTGCTGTTTGTTTCGTTTTTATTCACCAACTCATCAGATGTTTAGCGGTGAAAACGCTTTGTCTGCCACGCGGGATTTTCTTCGTTATCACGGGAACACACACAAGGGTCTCGTTGGACGATGGGACCATATAGATCCTGTAGGTACTGATTTCCTATGGAAACCGCCGGCCGATGCACCATAACAGATCACTGTAACACTATCTTAGTGATAACAGAGATCAGTTTAGTAAATATATGATTTATTTACATCAGGTATATAACACATCTACATACAAAACAATACAGGAATCTAAACTAATATACAGGTACTAGATTACGACAGTAACACATATAACTATATTAAATCCACCATTTTGCCCCTCGCAGTGGCTGAACTCGGGTGAGTCCATGTACTCGTCCAAGCCTCTCTTCTCCGCCCGTCTGAGCTCGGCTTTAGTTGTCTTCATTCGTCTGCCTAACTGTCAGTAAACTCTTGATTATTTACCACCGGAGAATAGATAAGACACATGGCATGCTTACTGACCATGCATATTCCTTTGAAGTCATGTGGAGCTTGTACACAAATCATATATAGTTTGTAAATGGCATATGAGATTTATTACATGTTTAATTAGATCATCGCCAGTCCGTGCCTTAACAGACATTTATACAGAGTTGAAAAGTCAATATCATATATTATCAATAACCAGCTGAGGTCATACAAATCTAAGTACCTAAATGACCGTTTCATTTGATGAAAGTTATAGAGTACTTTGTTACATATAATCTAATCTAATATATATTATGTATGCTTTACTTCGCACAAATAAAAAAAAAGAAAGAAAAAAGAAAATATACAACCATCCTTGCACCGAGTGCTGAAAGGTCAACACAAAAAATTTGACGACGTCTTCGTATGTTGACAGGAGCGTAAAGCTTTTTTTTTCGTTTTGATTTGTTTTTGTTTTTCTTTGCCTGAAGAAATGTATTAAATTAGATTCTTGAATTTCAATGCATCTTTTGAGGGGCGGGGGGGGGGGCACAGTGGCTCTGTTGGTAAGACGATGGCTTGCGAGCCTGGAGATCTTGGGTTGGCCGAGAGAGTTCCTAGGGAATTTCCGGCGCGGTTTCCAGTTGTAAATGGTGCAGGACGGAGGGCCTGGCAAGGAAAGGTGTCTAGTAGCTAAAGTGGTACGAAAAAACGAGGTCATATGTAAAAATTGACGTGCATGTAAAATAACCCTTGACCGATGGAATTCGATAAGGGTAGGCCGTTGTGCCGCTGTCCGGGCAACATTTCCCTCACAGCACAAGGCATGGCGTATTTCTGTCTTCATTAGCCCAGTTGGTGTAGAAATGTTGGATTTTAAATCCCGTTTCATTTATTTTATTTGGACTAAACATTAAACGGTTCACAACATGTATAGCTCCCAGAACATTCCCGTCGGTGGTTGTTTAAGATAATACAATCTGGGATAAAGGACATTCATGAAACTAAGTGTGTAACACTATCCTGTGTCGCGGTACCAAATAAAATGGACTGTGGCACTACGGGGTACAGATGTATGACACTTTGGGGTAGCTGTGACATTATCGTCTAGAACCTTCTTCGACTTCACGTTGTGGGATCAATTATTTCAATCATCAATTAACTGACTCTGGGACACCGTTTATGTTCTTACTAAGTTTTTTATAAATAAATACATACATCAAACTACAAAGTTATGATAGTACTTTTCGAGTTATTAAAATCTCCACGGTCTGGGTTTAATATCCTTTCTAACTCTGACCTAACGGCTTAAACGTGGCAAGAGCCACAGACTTCTTGATAGTTCTACATTATGTTCGCGCTAGAGGCGGGACAATTACCATTTTCGGGTAAGTGTTTTCATATAGGCACCGTTTAACGTCAACATTATTCTACTTAATTGTACTAATCTGTGCACGAGATGGCTGGACGATAGTACCCTACTTTACAGAAATGGATACTGACATAAATGTCTGAGTTAGTCTAAGATTGTAGCAGAGCAATGCAAGCTACTTCATTACCCTAGGTTTCGTCACACATCATGTAGGTAAAGATTTCTATATTAAACAGAACACTTTTCTTAGACCTAAAATAACTCTATAGTGTTATAACGCGCCCCTTTGCAATGCGTTAAATAAGCAATGTTGCTTAATTAACGCTGTTATCTAACATGCATTAAATACAATACACTATCTATACTTTAAAGCTCTGAATATTTCCATTACAATTTCAAGTCCTAATTCTAAAATATCATTACACTGATCAACATACTACAATAATATAATTTCACTGCTTCACTGTCAATATAAATACTCGGTTATAGGGTTCCAAGACAATAAAAAAAACCCACTGTTTCAATGTCAATAAGTTAACTATTTCTAACACTAAATAATTTCATGTCCTGTTTCTTGCACTGTAAATTTGGTGATTCTTTAAGTTAACACTTATGGAAACTCCGCTTCAGAACCATATCGTCTTGCATACTGGAATTCCTCTGTCTGGTTCAGCGTTGCTGGGCGTTAAGATAGGGTACAATATATCCCATAAATGACTAGTGTACTTGCTTAATTATATCAATTACAATTACATTGCCCTTAATTTATAACATTTATTTCAATATTAATTGGATACGATTATATCTTGCTTAATCATATTCTTACCCTTAAGTTTATTTAAAATTAAACTTGTATTTACTTCATTGGGAATACACATGTATTTATCCTTACTTCTATTTACTTTTAACTGAATAAACTATGAACAATATATCTTAATCTGCCCCATTAATAAAAAATTAGCAGTATTAATTAGTACTTATCATCTACAGTAATTTATAAATTAAAAACTCATTACTTTACTAACGTTCTTTACCTATTAGTATTATCTGAGAACAATGAACCATTTTACCTCAGTAGCAAACCAATTAATTAAACGGACGGTATCTGGTTATTGTTTAAGACATTCCACCTGTGCTATAAACCCACAGTTAACATTGAGTATATAGGATGGAAAGGTGTATCTTTCAATGTATAGAAGCTATAGAGCACCCTCGTCTCTTTCGGCCTGCTCCATAAATCAACTTTTTGACAGGTACACGCCCCTTTTTTCTAAATACGATACAGATACACCAAATAAACATCTAAAATGTTTTTCATTTCTGCATTTATTTCTTTTCTATATTCAAACAAAACAGCATCTTGAAATAAATGTGATCAATATCTATTTTAAGACGTGATTGTAATATACTCCTGGTTGTAATAACAAAACAACCACAACCCGTAAGTTATTATATTTCTTACGTTTAACACATATAACAAATAAGTTCTTGACTTGACATTAAGTATGGTTTTACGTATACAATAGGGGGATCGCGGTGGCTAAGTGGGTAAGACGCTGGCTCCCTGCATTGGCCGAGAAAGTTCATTCAGATTTTCCGGCGTGGTTCTCCCTTGTCAGTGATGCAGGACGGAGGGGCTGACAAGGAAAGTTGTCTAGTCGTTCGGATGGGACGAAAAACCTAGGTCCCGTGTACACATTGGCGTGCACGTAAAAGATCC